TCAGAATTCCAGAGATGCCCACAGGCTGAAAAAAGTTGGGGCCCCCTGCTCGTGTGGCTACCGAAGCATCCTGTAGCCGCACTTCATCATGCACATTCCAGCCAGAAATGGACCACAGTGACTCAACCAAGGTTGCACTCCCCACCAATGTTCACTGTGAAAAATTGATTCAAGTCCAATTACAGTCCACAAATTTGCTTCTTCTTTTTGTTTCTTTATTTTACTTCATGCAGTGCTGCTGCTGCTTCCAACAATTGTCACGCGACTACAGATTTCCCAGGTGAACAATCTGTTTCTTTCAATGCTTCGTCGGGTCACTTTATACTTGGAGCCCATGCTCTACGTCTCCTACTCAGCATTTGCTGGCTCTCATTTAGGATTAGGTATTGTGGTACCAACAATTACAGTTCTGACGACGCCCTGAGGGAAACAGATTGGGTGCGTTCAGACAGGCCATTTAGTCTGCTTTCGGCCTGCCTCAGAAACTGATTTTATCTGCGCGATCACACGGTCAACATCTGCCTCCCGTCCCCAGCCGTCACTTTCTGGTTCAAAACCGCTTTAACCCGGAATATTTTGATACCAGGTCCCCAAGTGGTGTTTTCCTGATTCTCCGTTTCCAGCCGCACTTTTCTGCCGTCTGATCCCTCCTGTGGTGTCGAGCCACTTCCGGTTTAAACCCGCTCCCCGCACGAGGGCTGCCCAAGGCTTCCGCTTTTCACCCACCATTTTTTTAAAGTGTTGGTGTTGTGCGTATAGGCAGAGCTCCGCCACTGCATGATTAAAAACAATGTTTAAACGGTGCCTAGTTTTAGCCTTTGGATGAATTCGGGACCTCACGGAGGCCAGTTTCGGGGTAAACGTTTAAAGGGAAGTGTTCCTTTAAAGTTTAAAGGGAAGCGTTACAGCAGTCAGGTTGAAGTGGAAATCGCTGTTCTGTGCACGCGCGAAAATTTTAGTTCTACAATGGCTGCCTGTGCGCATTCCCAAACTGAGGGGGGGGGGGAATAACAGTGAAGCACGCTCCTGCGTGTGGACAGCAAGGAACGATGTGGCTGCGCAGCGATCCGGAGCAAGGAGGTGAGTGTGATTGCGATTCTCCAGGTTAAAAAAGACTGCATCAGGGCCGGAGCAATTTAAACTGCTCCCAGCACGCTGTCTGACCGCACCCATTGTTTACCTGGGAAATCTGTAGTCACATGGCAATTGTTGGAAGCAGCAGCAGCACTGCATGACATGAAATAAAGAAACAAAAAGAAGAAGAAGCAAATTCATGGACTGTAATTACACTTCATCTCGTGGCTTGAGGTACCCGTTCAGTCCATCCCATTGGCAATGGGTTTCCTTAAGAGTCTTGCAGCCTACGGCGGACTGAGCATCTCACACTGGGCCGGAGTGTCCACTCTGGGTTTACGGTTTGCTGTTAAAGGTTTTTGTTAACTCCGGCTGTGCCATTTTTCCTTTGGCTCCAGGAGAAGGCTCAAAAATTCAGGAGCCGGGCTCCTTTTCCAGCCTTTGGGTTTTGTATTTTAATGACCATGTTTTCTTCTATATTTACTCAAAAAGGAGGGTGACCCTGAACGGAAAGTAAGTCCTCTAAAAATAGCCATCCCCCCATATTTTCCCTGGACATAAATTTAGCTTGTATGGGAATGTGAGATGACACATACACACACACACGCCCTTCCGTTTAATGGCAGACTTGGGGAAATTTTAGTTTTGCACTGGAGTAAATACTGTAATTGTTGGTACCACAATACCTAATCCTAAACCCTTCACACCATTTCTCATAACTTTATTAAAGCTGTGGTAAAAATGTTGTAGCATATGAATTAATATGTGGTAATCCCAGTTGTGTTCACCACAACAAAACTTTTGAGTAATGCAAAATTACTCACGAGGCCTTCTCCTGATGTTGCCTCCTGGCTCTGGGATTCAGAGGATTAGTGCCTCTGAATGCGGAGGTTCCCCTCACTAGCCATTGATAGATTTATCCGCCATCAGTCCGTCTAACCCCCCGTTCAAACTGTCTATGCTTGTGGCCATCACTACCTCCTCTGGCAGCGAATTTATTTATTTATTAGATTTTTACCCTGCCCTCCCAGCAAGGCCGGCTCAGGGCGGCTTACACAACAGTATAAAAATACAATACAATAATACAATGTACACTATAAAACCCAATCAATTGCAAATTTAAAACCACGAATTCCACATTTTAATCACTCTGTGTAAAAGTAGTACTTCCTTTTGTCCGCCCTGAACCTACTGCCCGTCAGCTTCATTGGATACCCTCTAGTTCTAGTATTTGGGGAGAGGAAGAAAATTTTCTCTTTTGCAGCTGTCTCCACCTCATGCATAATTTTATAAACCTCTATCATGTGTCTCTCCCCCCCTCCCCAATTCTCTCTTTTCTAAACTGAAAAGTCCACAACTCTCCAGCCTTTCCTCATTGGGAACATGCTACAAACCTCATCATCATCTTGGATGCCCCGGTCCGCTGTACTTTCTCCAGCTCTGCAACATCCTTTTGGAGATACAGTGACTGAAACTGTACGCAGGGCTCTTTTTGTAGAAAAAGCCCAGCAGGAACTCATTAGCATAATAGGCCACACCCAACAGCAGGAACTCGTTAGCATATTGGGCCACACCCCTGACAGCACAGCTCATTAGCACATTAGGCCCATGTTACCAGAAGTGTGGTCATCCAGCCACGCCCACCTTTTGCTTGTTGTTCTGTTTACCTTGTTTGTTGTCAAAACCCAGGGCCTTTTTTGTAGCAGGAACTCCTTTGCATATTAGGCCACACACCCCTAATGTAGCCAATCCTAATGAGTTTCTGCTGTTGGGTGTGGCCTATTATGCTAATGAGTTCCTGCTGGGCGTGGCCAACTTGGGAGCCAGCCGGAACTCTGTTCCTGTGCGTTCCTGCCCAAAAATAGCCCTGGTACACGGTATTCCAAGTGAGGCCACACCATAGATCTATACAGGGCATTCTGTTCTCAGCCGTCTTATTCTCAGTGCCTTTCCTAATAATCCCTAATGTAGAATTTGCCATTTTCACCGCTGCAGCACGCGAGGCTGGCACTTTCACTGAGCTCTCCACCACAACCCCGAGATCTTTTTCCGTCTCAGTCTCAGTCTCAGCAAGTTCAGGCGCCATTAGCCTACACCTGAAGTTGGGATTTTTTTTGTCTCAATGTGCATCATCTCACACTTACCAACACTGAACTTGAGTTGCATACACCATATTCTCTGGAAGGCAGAATTATTCCAGCATGCTTTCAGTTCAGGATATCTCCTTACTGTGCAATATAATTGCCTTCAAGGCTCCCTCTAAGCTGTGGAATCCTGTGAGCAAAAATTCTACTTGGTGAGCTCCTGGCATTAAAGTTGTGAGCGACCGATTTGGCGGCTGCATGAATTAGTTTGCTCTGAAGCCCTCCTTCCTGAGCTAAGACAAAAATCTGTGAGCCAGAGGCTAAAAAACTGTGAGCTAGCTCACGCTAACTCAGCTTAGAGGGAACACTGATTGCCTTGTGGGTAATTTTTGATGTAACTTGCAGAGGTTCCTATGGTGTGTTTTTTTCTGGGGGGGGGGGATTCGATTGGCTTCACATATTTGTATGAGTCTGTTATTGTATATTATGTTACTTTTGTATTTATTTTGATGTTATCAATAAACCTTTAATAGCATATACAACATTAAAATCAGAAATCAGAAACAGAGAGTGACACAGTCAACTAAAAAACTGGAATAATTATAAAATCATGAAACGGATTTTCCCAAATTTTTCACTCTTATCACATCAACTAAAAAATTAGCCACTGCCACTGTAATCTCTGCTGTTCGTTGCATGTATCTGCTAGGGAAAAATGGTTAAACTCTTGGTTGCATGGTAAATATCACCTTTTCTAATGAAAGAAAATGCCAGATTCTATTGAATGATACAACAGCAGAGATATAATTGATGTTCCTGTTGTAATTGTTTGTTGTTGTAAGCCGCTTCAAACTCTTAGCCAAACAGAAGCAGTATAAAACTGAAATAAACATAAACATAGATACCAGTCCAGTTACCTTTATTGGCATGTAACCCTTGCAAACCCATATACAACAAAAAAGACAACAACCACAGCATAGGATAATATCTGCAAAATACAGAAACAAGGAATTACCAAGTAAGTATACCCATCAATTAAATAAAGGGCGAATAGAAATGGCACCAAGAAGAAATTTAGCAACAGTTTCTGTTATCTCAAAGTTTGGATTGTCAAGAAGAATAAGATTCTTTAGGCAATCAGGATATTCTTCTAGTTGAGCCAAAATAAAATTTAGACATTTCAGTTGTAGCGTATGGTAGAAGGGGCACTGAAACAAGACATGGGAAATCGTTTCGATATTAACATTTGTGCATGGGCAACATCTGTCAAATGAGAAGGGAGCCCTCACTGGAGAAGACCCTGATGCTGGGATAGATTGAAGGTCAAAGAAGACGGGGACGGCAAAGGATGAGATGGTTAGACAGTGTCATCGATGCAACGAACATGAAGTTGAGCAAACTTCAGAGGACGGCGGAAGACAGGAGAGCCTGGCGTGATCTGGTCCATGGGGTCGCGGAGAGTCGGACTCGACTGTGCGACTTAACAACAACAACATCTGTCAGAAAAGGGCACACCCTGAAAGCGGGCAGATTAAGGCCGAAGGTAATACATTGAATCTCGCCAAAGAGAGGGCTCTACGGAGTTTGGGAGTGTGAAGTTGGTACAGGTAAGAGGCAGGTTGGCCAACTTTAGGAGATATTCCAAAATACAGAGGTGAACAGGTTTTATTAGCAGCATTATACAGTGAATGTAGCTTAGAACAAAGTAGATTGGCGCTTATAATTGAAAAAGCCTCAGATTCGGAAGTAGGGTGGTTTTGATCTTGTATGGCATAAATGGCGCAGGGGAGGCCAGGGTTCTCCAGCGAAAACAAAACCTCTCTTTCTGTATGTCATCTGCAGAGATCCATCGGTTGCTAAATCTATAGAAAGGATCTTTAAAATCTGGGAGGACAGAAACGTGTATCCCGGAGAAACCATCGCGTTACTGAAAGAAGCTTTAAGTAAGTTCTCTCCTTTTTTTGTCTCTTAACATCACTGCAGTTTGTATTGACTTCTCCTCTGTGTATATGTGTGTGTGTGTGTGTGTGTGTGATAGAATAATCTAATGTTCAGAGGTGTTCAGTTTTCTCCCCCTTTTACATTAAGCCCAGTAACTCTTTTCTGTCTCTGTCTGCTGATTGTACTTGGGTGCAGAACACGAACTAACTTGGCTGCGGTCATTTCAGAGAGATTGCTGAACTCTCAGCAGGGTTTGCGATGATTGGCAGAAGCTGTTTGCATGAACATTGATGGACCTCCCTGTGCTCCAGGGGTCTCTCTAGCCTAGGGTTGCCAATCTCCAGGTGGCACCAGGAGGTCTCCCCCTACTATAGTTGAGCTCCAGATGAGCAAGATCAGTTCCCCTGGAGCAAAAAAAGGTGCTTTGGAGGGTGGGCCCTATGGCATTGTTATACTCCCTGGCTGGGGGCCCCCCCCAAGTACCCCCCCCCCCCCCCAAATTTCCAGGTATTTCCTAGCCCAGCGCTGGCAACCTTAGCCTAACCCTTATGTCAGGGATAGAGATGTAAAGGCCCGGAAAAATTTGGGGGAAAACCAGTTGTTTTCCATTTTTTTTCCTGAAACCTTTTTTGTTTTTCCCCCCCGAAAAATTGAAAAAAAGGAAAAAAAATTGATTATGGAACGGTTTATTTTAACATGATGAATAAAATATTTTTAAGACAAGGGTGTTCAAATATTTTCCAAATCATTTCTAACAAATATGTATAGTGTCAGATTAATCTAATTTCTGTGCACTGAGGACAAGCAAGAACAAACTGAACTCTCCAATGGATAATGACAGACAGAACAGAGTAGCTGCAGAAGCAGAGACCGAAACTGATACTGATTAATTACAGCTCAGAAAATGATTCTGATTAAATTTCATGCCCATTCATTTTAACTTAGTCCCACACTCCCTTCTATACACTTCCCCCCTCTTCAATTCTTTTTATGAGAATGGGGTTTTTTAATTATTTAATACTGTGGAGAGGAAATATGAATAATTGTTATTTCTGGATTTTTAAAAATTGTTTTGTGGAGGTTTTTGTGGTCTGTTCCACATAAACTAGTAAACAGTTCAGGAGATTGTTGCTCCATTTGTTACAATTACAAATAAATATTATTTAAAAAATAAATTTTTGTAATAACTGTTTGGATACACTGTATTTTATGCTCCTAAAGTAACAGAATGACTTTCAATCTGGAAAAGAAAAAAGAAGTGCTAATGTAGCATTTTTTTTTCAATTTTTCCAAAAATTTCCGTTTCCCCCCGAAAAAAACTGGTTTTTTTCCCCAAGCTTCAAAATGTCCGGAAATTTTATATCTCTAGTCAGGGAGGCTGAACCCCGTGGGCCCCAGGGCTGTCATACACAAATAACCAACCCTTCTTTATTTTAAAATAAATTATAAGAAGTTCTGTTTAATTTCTGTCAAAACAAAAAGGTTTATCCTACAGGCAATGCAACACTCTGAAATCACACAGCAAAGAAAGCAAGAAAAACTAGCTTAACTATCTAACACGTTTTCAAGCCCTGCGTTAGATGGCACAAGCCTTAAGTCCAAGCGTCAAAGGCCATAAACTTGAGTGCTCTTTATGTCGCTGTCTGTTGCAATCTAAGGATGTCGTAGTCCAGGCCTTCAGGACATCAGAATCTAAGCTAGGCCCCTTTCCTCCGGGCTCTTAGCTCAATTATAGTTTCCTGGCCCTCTCCTTGCGGCCATTGCTACACCTGCTGGCAGTGCATTCCACGATTCAATTGCCCGAAGAGGACAGAAGAATTTCCTTTTGTCCATCCAGAATCGGTTACCGGTCCGTTTCGTTCGGAGCCCCCCCCCCCAAGTTCTAGTAATAAGGAAGGAGCAGGGAGAATTTCCTTCTCCACTCTTCCCCCCCCCCAATGCATAATTTTATAAAGCTCTTATCGTGTCTCCCCCTTGTTGTCTTTTTCACCAAACCTTGAAAAGCTGCAGACGTCTAAATTTTTCTTCCCTGGATCGATCGCCAAACCTTGAATCCTCTTCGTTGCCCGCTTCTGCACTTTTTTTAAAATTCATTTTTTTCTTATTATTTAATTAAATATTGTTACACTTTAAAATAGCAGCAGCGATGACATAATATATGTGACAAGAAGAGGAAAAGGGGCACAGCAACCATATCATTTACAATACTATTAAAATATATAAACAATTTTGATAAACTGACAACCGTTAACTTCTGTGAAGATACGGTCTATTAAGCAAAATCCTTTTGTAGCCTCAACAAAATAGGAGGAGCTTATATTTGGCAGCTTTAATAGCCTTCTATTCAAAACATTCTAAATCTATCTTTTCTACTAAAGGGAACCAAATACTTAACGGATTGTAAAAAAGTTGTTCATTATGATTAGAATCCTTATAAACTGGAAAAAAGTCTAACATAAACAAATCCCAGATTTTGTGAACCCATTGTGCTACCATAGGAATTGCTTTTTCTTTCCAGGATCTGGCTATAAGAATTTTTGCCGCAGTAAGCAGCATTCCTATTAATTTTCTCCTTTTTGTCCAGCTTTGGAATATTCTCTTTGAGATTCAGTGACCAGAACTGTAGACCGTATGCCGAAGGAGGCTACGCCATAGATTCAACACAGGGGCATTAGAACATCGGTCATTTCATTTTCAGTTCCTTTCCTGATAATCACCAGACTGGAGTTTTGCCTTTTTCACCACCGCTGTGTTGAAGAGTCGACATCCTCATCTAGCCGTCCATGAGGATCCAACAATCTTTTTCACTCTCCGTCTTGGCCAGATCAGATCCCATCGGCGTGTTTATAAGACTTTTTGTTTCAATTGTATGCACGTCATTTGTCATCAGCCTTTCTCGCTGAAACTCAGGGCAGCCAAAGACATTTGGATAAAGACCACTGAAATACGAACAATAAGCAGTGCAATAGAACTGTATCACACCATTCGAGAATAATGAAATCCATAGGTGTCGAACTCATTTGTTAAGAGGGCAGGGGTCTGACATAAATGTCACTTTGGCAGGCCGGGCCATGTCTGCCATAGAATATGATGTCAGGTATGGGAGATATAAACTGTCTTAAAGGACACAGGCAAACCCAGTGAGCAATATTATTTTTTTACTCAAAATACAAACATGCTTCAAACTAACACTCTCACAGTATTTCCGTAGAGCAGGGATGTCAAACATGCAGCCCGGGGGCCAGATCAGGCCCCCAGAGGGGCTTCCATCAGGCCCACAGTGGAACTGGCCGTTTCCTGCTTCCAGTTCTGCTGCTGCTGCTGCTGCTGCTGCTGCTGCTGCTGCATCATAGCCTGCTTTGCCAGACTCTCTTAATCACTCAGCCATTTCATGTTTTCCCCTGGGTCCTAGACTCAGAACTCTGTGGTGAATGTCAATCAATCAAAAGTTAGTTTGCGGCCTACAGAGCTAATATTTTAAGCATGTTTTAAAGTAAAAAAAACACCTTTGTGTTTATGCCCTTTATAAAGTTTATATCTCCGCTACCCGACATTACCTTTTATGACACACACGGCCCGGCCAAACAAGGTCTCATTTATGTCAGACAAATGAATTTGACACCCCTGCGTTAGAGTAGCTCCCTGATGCCCACCCTCCCGTTACACATTAGCACTGGTATATAGTCAAGCAAGCGCACACCCCTGCCCAGGATTCCTGGCACGAATGGGATGGAAATGGGAGTGCAAAATTCACTCTTGGTCTCCGCCTTGGTGGCTGCAAACATGCCCGCTGCCGTACTCACCCTGAATTCCATATAATTTATAAACAAATTAAATCGCACTGAAGAAGAGAAGAAGATATTGGATTTCTACCCCGCCCTTCACTACCCAAGGGAGTCACAGAGCGGCTTACAAACTCCTTTCCCTCCCCCTCCCCACAACAGACACCCCGTGAGGCAGGTGGGGCTGAGAGAGCTCTGACAGAAATTGCTCTTTTTCAAGAATAGCTCTTGTCAGAACTACAGCTTGCCCAAGGTCATCCAGCCAGGTGCAAGTGGAGGAGGAGTGGGGAATCAAACCCAGTTCTCCCAGATTAGAGTCCGCGCACTTCACCACGACACCAAACTGGCTCCCAGTATTCCTGGGAGTTCCTGGTCCCGGTATTCCTCCTTGTGGGGCCCCACTGCTCACTTGCATCCATTGCAAAAACCGTCCATTTATTTCTGCGCTCTGCGTCCCGTTCAGCCAGTTTTTAACCTATAAGGTTGACCCAGTCTCTTACCCCACGACCGTTAAGTTTACTCAGGCGTCCAGAGCAAGGTGCCTGGTCAAAGGCCTTTCGTAAGGCCAAGTAAATAACGTCCTCCAGATCACCTTTATCCCTGTGCTGCTTGTTCACCTTCATAGAGAACTCCAAAAGGCTGGCGAGGCAGGATTTCTCTTTGCAGAAGCCGTGCTGACGTTCTCTCTGCAGGCCTTGTTCTTCTCCATGCTTGGCCATTGTCTCTTAAGTAACGGTTTCTGCTGATTTCCCCCAGAACAGCTATTAGGCTGACTTGCCTGTTATTTGATTGGGAGTGGCTGTCAGGATATGTACCTCTTTCACTGGCCTGTGTTGCATTAGTTGCTTTGCAGTGCCTGGCGGGCTGTAGGTCTCTGTAGGTCCAGGATCGGCAGGGATGGGCCTTGAAAGTAGAACTTGATAACTTGCCTGTTGACAGGCTTCAGAGACTGCTGTGGTCACTTCTTATCCAGCAGGCCACATATCTCACCAGATTAAGATGGATTGGCTCAGTGTTCCCCCCAGCGTGGTGCCCACCAGTTGCTCTTACACTGTGGGCAGGGCCACGTGGGGCTTTGGTCCAGCCAGGCTCCTGATTGGCCACTGGAGATCTGTACAGATATTATCCAAAGTTGCTTCAGCAACAGCTGCCGTCACAGCACGAGGATCTTCATCACATTTCTGTGTGCGCACGCAGGACCATATTTTTTAATGGCATGCTCGTTTCAAAAGGTGTCCTGTTGAACAGTTTCTGCCTGAAGTACTGAAGAGTTACTCTAAGAGTTAAGCAAAACTTCACTCCCTGACACTTTGTTGTTGGCTCTGCCCACCGTGGTAGAACTCCAGAGGTGCCCACAGGCTCAAAAAGGGCGAGGCCCAGTGTTCCCTCCAAGCTGAGTTAGTGTGAGCTAGCTCACAGTTTTCTAGCCTCCGGCTCACACGTTTTTGGCTCAGCTCAGGAAGGGATGGCTCCAGAGCAAACTCATTGATGCAGCAGGCAAATCGCTCGCTCACAATTTTAATGCCAGGAGCTCAGAAAGTAAAATTTTTGCTCACAAGACTCCACAGCGTAGAGGGAGCATTAGCTTGCGTTGACCATTGTCGGCTTTCTTCTGCTCTCTTAAGTTGAAAGAAAATGGCTGGACCCCTTACCTGTCCGCATAGGGAGCTGCTTAGCTTTGTTCCTGGAGAATGCGTCCTTGGTACTTTTGTGTGTGTGTGGGGGGGGGGAAGCTGGAGAGAGTCCTGAGGTCAGAGGGGTGACCGTAGATTTCACAGCCGGAATCTGGTTTTGGATTGGGGAAAAGTCTGCCGCCTGCTCGCTGGGCAGGCCTTCACGGCCCTTTTCTGTCAGTCTCGCTTTGCCCACCGAGACAGGGGAAGGGATCCCTAAAGGGAATGCCGTAACGTTGAAAGCGCACAACGAAACCAAAAAAAATGAAAATGTCTTCCAGGTTCCACTTTCAAAACTCAGAAGCAGCAGAAAGAGACTCAGAGCAAACAGCCAGCTAAATCATGGAAGAAATCTCAAAGTAAGGAAATCCCGCCTGAACTTGATGTGATGTTAAAACAAAGCATGAGACGCTCGCACCAAACACCCTCCTCGAGAGAGAGAGAGCGTCCGAATGGTCGGAGTCCGTGCCATGTGTCAGGAGGGGGGGCCCCCACACTTGAAACAGTGCAATGTGCATAAGGACATTGAAATCAGCAGGACGTAGACAGAGAGAAAAGGTGTTAGGGAGCTACTTGGCATACCTAGGAAGCGCCTGGCCTGCAGCTAAGCTTAGCAGAGGAGCCAAGGAGCGGCCTCTTCCGACAGCAGCGGAGACTAGCCAAAGAGCAGAAGCCTTAAGTCCACAGGGTGGGGAGCACAGACAAGGGGACCAGGTGCCTTGGACCCCCCCCCCCTCGAGCTTATGCGAGACAGCATTTGCTGTGTCCACTTCTGCACCACGGCGGTGCTGAACAGAACGAAGCTCAAAAAACCAAACGGGGGAAATACACAGGACAGAATAGCCAAAAAACAAACGTAACTGTGTATAGAAATATCATAAAAGTATTAGCAAAATACATTTTTATATGAAGTGTCAGAAGGAACTTCTAATTACAACAATATTATGGCAATATAGAGAAGAGTTTACGCTTAACTGTCTTTACTGTTGACATGGGCAGGGGTCATTTCGTAGAAAAAGAGGTGCAGGAGCATAACCTATTTGCATATGCCACACCCCCTGACATCACCGGACGTGTGTCAGAAGGCAACACCCACCGCTCAGGCTCCACTGGACTGTTTTGGATTGCTAGCTATTGGGGGGATGGGGGGAACGTGCAGATCTGTCCTCGCAGAGGAGGGAGAACTTGTGCCTGAATAAAACTTGGTCTTAAAGGTGCCACTGGACTGTTTTGGACCAGGGGGGCCGGGGGCTCTGCAGCTTACCTGGCTGCCCCTTGCCCTGACTGAGGGCTGCTGGGAGCAGGGGGTGCGGCTTATTGCATGTGCCCGCCCCCTGGGCTCTTTACTGCCAGAGCTCCGCTCCCGTGCGCTCCCGCAGGAAATAACCCCTGGACATGGGAGACTGAGGTCCCAGTCAAAAGCGTTATTCTAAAGCAAATTGGGAGACTCTTGGCTTGGCTTTTGAAAAAGCCTTGTGCAAAACACGGGTAGAAAGCCGGCAACGCGTAGCAGCAGGCCTTGAACTGACATCTTATGAGACAAGTGCGATGAGGACTGATCCCCGAAGACGTCGGGGCTGACAAAGTGTCTGCATTCTAATGCTCTTTATCTGCAGCACTTCTGTTTATTTTGGATTACTCAGGACTGTTCCCCGTGACACTTCATATAAAAAGTATTTTGCACATCACTTTTGATATTTCTATACACAGTTATTTTTATTTGTTGAACGCGGCAAAGCGACAGTTGGCACAGAGAGGAAGATGAGAAGAGGGGTGGGCAGGAAGGCGTTCTGTGGCCCGGTGCATGCTGAAAGTCTCCGGGCCGGGGTGGCGATGGGGAGTGGGGGAGCTTGCATCGCCGGGTGGCCCCCAGTTGCAACTTGACCAAAGGCAGCATCCTGATTCCCAGCGCCACGTTAACGAGCACTGTAATAGTCCTTCATCTTGTTTAACAACATCCCGAAGAGAATGTCTGTTCTTCTGTGCCAACAGCACAGGCTGGAGAAGAAGCGTCGGCTGCAAGGCGAGGGATACAGAGCCCCCCTTTCCATGCCGTGCTACAGGCTACACCATGCACAGTTGTGGTTGGCGTGTGGTTTCTGCGCCTGTCCTTCTAAAATGAACGGAGGTTGCTCTCCAAAGGCTGTTAGTCCGGTCAGAGCCGTAGCTCCCCATCTCTGTGCCACAAGGAATGAGTTAATTATTAAGAGTGTTCTGAGGCATGGGGGGGGCTGCCTGCTGTAACTCTGCGTGAATTCCTGACCTTGCTCACTTCTAGTCAGCCTCTGGTCTGGGGCAGGTGATTGCCACATCTCTGTGTGAGGCAGGATTGGGTCATGCATTCATTGACATTGCAGCAGGATCACTCACTTCCCGAGGCGGCGGCTCATTGTGTCCCTGTATGAGTCACTGCCCTCAGCATGCATCCATCCAGTCAGGAGATATATTCAGAACAGCGAATTGCACAGAGGAGGAGGAGGAGATTGGGTTTATCCCCTGCCCTTCACTACCCAAAGGTGTCTCAGAGCGGCTCACAGACTCCTTTCCCTTCCCCTCCCCACAACAGACACCCTGTGAGGTAGGTGGGGCTGAGAGAGCTCTTGACAGAAACTGCTCTTTTTTCAAGAACACCTCTTATCAGAACTACGGCTTGCCCAAGGTCATCCAGCCAGGTGCAAGTGGAGGAGTGGGGAATCAAACCCGGTTCTCCTAGATTAGAGTCCGCGCACTTAACCACTACACCAAACTGGCTCTTTTAGCTAGAGAACAGGAGGAGGAGGAGGAGGAGGAGATCGGATTTATACCCTGCCCTTCACTTGGAGTCTCAGAGTGCCTTACACACTCCTTTCCCTTCCCCTCCCCACAACAGACACCCTGTGAGGTAGGTGGGGCCGAGAGAGCTCTTGACAGAAACGGCTCTTTTTCAAGAACAGCCCTTATCAGAACTACGGCTTGCCCAAGGCCATCCAGCAGCTGCGAGTGGAGGAGTGGGGGAATCAAACCTGGTTCTCCCAGATTAGAGTCTGCGCACTTCACCACGACACCAAACTGGCTCTTTTAGCTGGAGAACAGGAGGAGGAGGAGGAGGAGGAGATCGGATTTATACTCTGCCCTTCACTCGGAGTCTCAGAGCGCCTTACACACTCCTTTCCCTTCCCCTCCCCACAACAGACACCCTGTGAGGTAGGTGGGGCTGGGAGAGCTCTGACAGAAACTGCTCTTTTTTCAAGGACAGCTCTTATCAGAACTACGGCTTGCCCAAGATCATCCAGCCCGGTGCAAGGGGAGGAGTGAGGGGAATCAAACCCGGTTCTCCCAGATTAGAGTCCGCGCACTTAACCACGACACCAAACTGGCTCTATCAGGGTGGAATGAATCCTCTGTGGGTGGGTAGTTTTTACAGGCCTGGCCAACACATGTCGGGAAGAGAAACAGCACGTTTAGGGCCCCCACCCTTTCTTGTCGAAACTCAAGGTGGATTGTAGAATTCCATTTCTCCATGAAGAAACTCTGTGCAAATAATTATTCTTAAAAGCCTAGCGCGTTGGGGAGGGGGGTGAGGTTCTGTCCCAATCTGCTCCTTTCTGTGCTGGCTTTCCACCCAGAGAGAAACTTACACATCATCAGTGTTCCCTCTGAGCTGAGTTAGTGTGAGCCAGCTCACAGTTTTTTTAGCCTCCAGCTCACCCATTTCTGCCTTAGCTCAGGAAGGAGAGCTCCAGAGCCAACTAATTCACGCAGCAGCCCAGTCGCTCGCTCCCAACTTTAACGCCATTAGCTCGCAAAGTAGAATGTTTGCTCACAAGACTCCGCAGCTTAGGGGGAGCCTTGCTCATAGTGGAACATAGTGGGGGGGAAAGTCACGCCCCCTCCTCCGCAAGTCTGAAATCCCTCGGTCCGTTCCGCACCCTGCTGCCTCATTCTACTGAACATGCAGTATGCGAATGTGCCAGAGTGAGCTTCTTACACAGGTGTAAGAGAGAAGCATGCCTCACATTAATTCAGGAAAATAGTCGTTTCTTGGCTCTCAGGTGGTTGGTCGGAAACCCTT